ACTAGGAGCATCTACATCTAAAATTTCAAGTCTCTAGCTCTTATAGGTTCTGAGATCCTTTGACTCATGCATACGGACGGACGGACGGACATGGCTAGATCGACTCGGCTATTGATGCTGATCAAGAATATATATACTTTATGGGGTCGGCGATGCTTCCTTCTGCCTGTTACATACATTTGGATTTTGCACAAATACAATATACCCTTATACCCATTTTTAATGGGTTCAGGGTATAAAAAGTCCGATACATAATGTCTGGGTTAACCAACGCTTTTACCCCATATAGAACTGGCTTTAGCACTGAACTGTATTACATGGTGCGTTTTGTTGCCGAACATAATGAAGTTGCGCTTGGAGGGGAAACGGGCTTCTACAATTTTTAATTTCTAAAACAGTTCCACGGCTTTTCATCTGCTTCGATCGTGTTGGTCATGGACAGCTCACTGTGAATAGTGGCTGCATCAGACGTTTCACACTGGTATTCTAGCACGTTGACGTTTTGTAACGACAAGTCATCAGCGACATTTTATAGCCATCACCATTGAATTTTATCAATTCGTATAAGAGCATTGTAATTTCAATTGTTACTCTATGATATTCTGTGCTGTGTATATTTTCTAATATTATAATTCATTTTTTTCTCGTCCATAATGAATTGTTACGGTTATCGAGGTATCGGCAAGTGGTGTGGCATGTTATGAGTTAAAGTCTTAATGAGGCAACAATTTTTTATTTATACTGCTAAAGCAAACAAGCTCATAACGCTAGCTGCATTTGGTGTTGGTAGAAGAGGGTTTAGGGTATCCCTTAGTCGGGTATTTTCGACTAGAAAATCATGATTGTTTAATTTTTTTATTACAGCTAAAGCAAACGAGATCATAGTGCGAAGTGCATTAGATGTTGGAAGAAAAGGGTTCAGCGTCTTATATAGATTATAGTATATTTTCACAAATTGCTTTAAATTTGTGGCTTTGGTTAGTTGGTATGGGGTGACGACGGGGGTGACGATAGCCACTATTTTAGAAGCTATATGTCATGTTTGATGACACTAGCTCTTGAAACCTAATATATTCGCCTAAACAACATAATTTTATATCGATTCTTATCGACTGTTTAAGGTATATGGCGATGGCAATCGGTTAAAGGTAGTTGTGAGTTTAATACTGGCAGAGAGAACTAACTTTTTTTATTTTAAATTTATATTTATTAATTAATGCTAGTACGTAATAAATAGGATAAGCAAGTATAAATACTCTAATGGGAGTATTCGATTAAGGGATAACCTGAATTTTCTCCTGTATATACTCTACTAGAGCCATTGTATGAATATATTTTAGTGGCTGTAGCTCTTAAAATCAAAGAGATGCTCAATAATGTAGACATCCATTTTGTATATAATGCATTGAAACGAGAAAAATTATCGATGATTTTAATAAAACTCGTACAGAGAACCTACATTCAAAATATATAGGCTTAAGCTGTTATAGCTTCGAATCGAACTTACATACGGACGCAAATGGCCAAGCGCAGCATCCACTATTGATGCCGACCAATATTGTGTACACTTTTTAGGTCAGAGATGTTTTCTTCAGCCTGTGACATATATTTGCACAAAATCATTATACCCTTTTAACCCAAGGCGGCCGCCTTGCATGTATGTATCTCGCTCAGGCCAAAAGAAGAAGAATACAGGGCAGTGAGCAGCAATCGCGGTCAAATGAAGCTCTCCCTCTTTCTGCTAGCTGATCGCCTGTGATGCCAATACGAATCACATGATATGGGAAGCTACAAGCGTCAACCAAATGGGTAAGTGCCTTCACACTACATTAATAGTAATAACATAAGCCTACTAGATCGGGATAATGACTGCTCTATCGGTCAAATCAATAAAAATAGCGGATTATATCAGGCGGCTTCATGATAACATTGAACTTTAAGAGAGTTGTTGAAAACCTAAGACGGGCAGCAAGAAAGCCGTTCAAGCAACGAAAAGATGGTACGGCTCCTTGACTCACCTAGAAATCTGCTCTAATAGATGAGGATAAATAATAGTGTTAGTCGAACGGAAACTGAAGAAGAATGACAAGTCTTCCAGAGGCGATTGTTGTAAAAAAGACTATTGAAAAAGATCACATTAAACACAAGGTAAACCAGCAAACCAGGAACCTCACTTCCCAGAGTGTATGGTTGTGTGGCCATAGAAAGATGTAGCCGATGCGTCCAACCATACTTCTTGCTTATTAATTTAGGCAAGTGCACTCAGGTTCGAGTTGTGTTTAGCATATCAGCATATGATCCCGGCTAGCATATCAGGGAGATTATTCTTAAGCAAAATCTAAAACCACACTCGAGAAGGTTTTTAGTGCTTAACAGATTGCATTGGTAGCCTTCATCGCCACATTCGGTGCCTTCCATAGTCTAAAACTATGTCTTGATCCGACCATTTCGGAGCGAATGCCAAAATTCTCAAATTAAGCTCATTGATGTTGTCATCGATAAAAGGTTACTACGTAACCTCGTCAAACTACATTAATTTGTTTCACTTGGAAGAGGTATCTTTCTCTACAGAAGCCTCACTTAAATAACCCTACTGTAAAATTTTCACATCAGGCTAGATACAGATACAACAACCATACTTATACCATGCCTGTGGAGACTTATTGGAAAGAACATGGGAGCTCCGTTTTAAAATGATGTACTGATCTCTTAATACTCTGATTATGGTACGGATGTATGCCCGACTGAACGATAATAGAGCATGTTTATAAAAGTGGGATTTTTCCTGCCACAGGTACAAAATGGATCTAAAGAAGTAAGCAGCGTCAACCCATTAAATAAAATATCTCTGTCTCGCGGCGAATTTATTGTTCGACTTGTGCGTACATCCACACAAACATACAAATGTATGTTTGTAGATTTCGGGGCTGTTTGTCCAGCTAGGTAGAACGAAATGCATTCAAGTGCACATAGTTAAGAGTGAGAGCGAGACACATATATGTCTCTGGGATGTAAGCACATTCTGCATCCTGCATTCACTTATTCCTTAGTTTGAAGCCTCTTCATATTGTTTGTTTTGTGCTTGTATACATTTGCAGACATGTGAGAATAGTAAAGCTCGTAAATGATATGTTTGATGAAAATATCTTGGAAAACAAAATAATAACATACTTAAACCTTAAATGCCGAGTTGGTCGAGATATTTTGAAAGGAAAAAAGTTCGTACAAGTAACTAATATTCGACCGAACGTTCTAATGGCAGTTATATAATATAGTCCGATTCGGACGTTATCGACATATATGCTGCCTGAAACAGAAATAAGGAAAATATGGACTTTTACAAACTACCAGGGTATAAAATTATGAACTCAAACAGGCATTTCAACTGAGAGAGTGATCGAAACAAACAGATGGCTAACACACACAAGACAGGCAGATGCGGATGTCATTACGAACCATAACAAGGTTCGCCCCCTTTTAATCCCCTTGGGTCTATCAGATCTTCCCGGTCGTCACGCAACGCTGTTTCGAAATTTTTATTTTTGTCACTTAATCCACCTACTTAGAGCGACCTTTACTTGGGCATGCATTCCACTCTTCTTGAAGAGTCAATTTGCTATTTATCTCCTAACAAGGTAATCGTGATTTTGATTAACCCAAATCCTACCGACCTAGTAGTCTCTCCTCTTTTCTCTTAAGGACAGGTCAAAGCCTGCCCCTGGGAAGAGTTTCTGTCTCCCTAACTCATCAGACCATTTTGGAGCTATCATCTTTCAATCTGAGATTCATGCCATTGAGGTTTTATCAGTTTAAATATTGGAAAATGTCTACAATGGACCATGAAAGTAGCAGATTCCTTTAACAGCTTCTGAGACACAACAAAGTCACACTTTGCTGGGTCCCTGGTTCATCCAGGTTAATGTAGCGGACGAGCTCGCCTGAGCAGGATCGGGATAGGGCTTTCTGTGGAGGGCAGATAGCTTTCAGACGAAACCATAAAAGCCTCGACACTCTAACTAAGAACTTAGCCAAGCTAAGGTGCTTATTAATCCTTCACTAGTTCATCGAATTGGCAGGTTCCAAAGAGATGACTTGAGTTAGACTTGTGATACGAGGAAACATCTAGGGAAAAGTTATGCATTACTATTATTTGAAAGCAAACCGAAACGAGCATATGCCACATTAGAGCAAAATAGGGTCCATGCTTATTAATTAATTAAATGTGAGTTTTACACTCTTAAGGAGTGTAGTAAATAAAAAAATTTGTAGATGGTATATATCAAATCAAGTACAAAATATTGAAAATACGAGCGTCTTCCATTCTATGAGAGCTACATATTTGGTATAATACGTCAATATTATCAGATTTTTGAGTTCAGTTAATTCCTAATATAAACATAGCTTGTAAAACAAAAAAATAGTTTTTGCGAAATCTTAATATTCACTTAATGCCTTTTTATACCCTAAACCCATTATAAATGGGTATAAGGGTATATTGTATTTGTGCAAAATCTAAATGTATGTAACATGCAGAAGGAAGCATTTCCGACCCCATAAAGTATATATATTCTTGAGTCGATCTAGCCATGTCCGTCTGTCTGTCTGTCTTATTATTTACCAAAATTGCCCCAAAAACAGGATATCAATATCGATTTCTATCGATTGCTTGAAAACTGACTAAGTTATCGATTATCGAGAACAAACTCGATCTGCGCAGGCACTAGGAGCACCTACATATAAAATTTCAAGTCCCTAGCTCTTATAGGTTCTGAGATCCTTGCGTTCATACACACGGACAGACGGGAGACAGACAGACGGACATGGCTAGATCGACTCGGCTATTGATGCTGATCAAGAATATATATACTTTATGGGGTCGGAGATGGTTCCTTCTGCCTGTAACATACATTTACATTTTGGACAAATACAATATACCCTTTTTACCCATTTTAAGTGGGTTCAGGGTATAAAAAGTAGTAGGCACAGAAAAATAAACATACCTTGAGAAATTGTGAATTTTCTCGTGTCAAACTTCGTAGCTTCTTGTTTGGGAATGTTGAAACTGTAACGAAAAAGAAGAAATAATAAATGTATAACGACATAGTTTTGTTTAGATATACTTTTTAGTTGAAGCTGCTTAAAGATGTACGATACAATGCTATCTAAAATAGTGCAACAGCTGATATAAATTGCCGAATCTGCAATAAAAAGAAGTTTAACACTGTACATATATGTTGAGAAAATTATATATACCTAGTGCGGCAAGGCCTTTTGTCAGACTTTCCAATACATACACAAATGCGCGTGGTTCTAAGGTGGCAAGATATGTCACATGATCCTGAGATAGGCAGTTTAATAAATTGTAATAAGCCGAGGCCAATTTCGGGTATTCCTATTTATTTTGTATATTTCCAAGTCTGTTATTTATATTTTTATTTAACTTATTAAATTTTAATTACCAATAAATCACTTTGCCGTATGGACAGAATAAGCTTGGCGACAATGTCAAGAACATTATGTAATGTATCATCACCATATAATTTAAACACACCACAGTTGACATAGTTGCCTCCAAGCGCATTTTTTAAAATCAAGAAGCAGATTGATATTCCCTTTAGTTTCATTGGGTAAAGTTGATCAGTTGACACCTCCAGATGTAGAATACGATTGCCATATATGCAAATAAGTTTTGATGCCTCGCGAAACAGCAAAATACCCATAGGGCTAGAAACGTTTCCGGCTAAACGCTGTGTGCGGCAATGCACTAACTCAGCAAATAACTTTAAGACAGGGGTAGTAATAGCAGGCTCATGCGCCCACAGTTCCACCGCACGAAGCAATATGGGTAAGTAATCAGTGTAGTAACTACAAAGAATAAAATATCAAAAGCTAGTCAACTCAGAAAAAAATGTTTAAAAAACATATTAAATATTGTTGGTTGTTACACGCACAGCCATTCAAAAAGCATAGTGTATTGGATACGAGCATTAAGCGGCAATGCTAAACCACGCAAGTCGCGGGCTAACCCAATAATCGCTTTTTTGACCTCATCATTTGGAAAACTTTTTGTATCCATTAGCACGTTTCCAAGTGATTCAAACTGATCTAAAAAAATACAGAAAATAATACATTCTTCAACATTTTTTTAAGGGGCTTATTTACTTGTAAGTGGTGTAAGAAAATTGTAGAAACGTTCTTCATCCTCGCCCAAATCAAACATTAATAAACGACTTAAGGCAGTGTAAAACATTGTCCGACAACGCATTTCGTTCAGAGATGAGCTCGTACCAAGAAAAGGAAAGTGTTCGCTTGTGTGATGTGTTAACATGAATTGAACTTCCTCTAAGCGAGCCAATTTACGCACTGAATTAAAGTGCACTGACAGATCGGATAATAACACTAAAGTTTTTGTAATTATTTGCTCAGAACGACCCCAAAACTTCAGGTTAGTTATGCTAAAAAAAATAGAAAAGGATAATGTTACTTTTTTGAAATCTAGTAAAGACAATACATACATTTTACGGTTTATAAAACTTAGCAACATTTGCTCATCATTTAGTCCAAAAACTTCATTAAGGCGCTTGTAAACAGTTGCTTTTTGTGCCTGGTCACTGCTATGCATTTTCCGAACCTGATCTAAAAAGCTCAAAATGGCCAGTTCCAGCTTCTCACAACCAGTTTGAGGAAGACGTGAGTCAGTTAAACTCATAAGTTGCAGTACACGAATAACAAGCTCTGCATCCATATTGTCATGTTCATCACTGGTGGTCACAGAAAGTCTCCCCACAATGGCCGAACCAATTATATAAACCAACCAAGTCAATTGCAACTCATGGACCGTAATATCTATAGGGTTTGCATTGAGGCTCTGTATGAGATTTTCGTACTCACGTGCCTTTTGATCAAAATGTTGTACAAGAAGGTTGCAAGTCTTATTGTACTCGCAACGCTCGATTACCGATAACTGTTCAAGCTGTTGTTGTACCATACAAAGATCGTCTAAGGGATCCTCCATATTATCACGTACAATTAAAGGCACAGCCTCTAGACGGGACTCAATGTATGCTTTTATCACTTCAGGTGTATATGTGCCAAGTAAATGCGGATCCGGCGATTTGACGTACGGTACTGAAGCAACCATACGCTGCCATAGAGTAAGTAAATAGTGCACGCTATTTGGAGCAAAGAGCCACATCTGCAAATGTGAACAATGTCCATTTTTTTTAAGCCTTTAACCGAAAATATACTCACATGTAACGATTGTACCGTAAACTTCGCGATTAATTCTATGGCTTCGGGGTAGCAAGGAACAGCAATGAGTTCCCCAAGTTGATAATTGGATTTCAGACGCGCTAGCAAACGACAAAATTCATGGTAATTATCTGGATCGCTAAGACCCTAAAATAAATATTTAAGACATTGGTGTTAATAAGAAGTAGTTACAAACTTACGTGTAAGTTTCTGAGTATATTTTTGACTCCTTCAACTAAGTTGGTCAGAAATTTCGTTCGCTCTGAGTTACTAAACAGAGATCGACGTACAGATGTCATTTGTACTAGGCACGAAAGTGAATAACTAGCTAAACCATTCGGTAAAATTTGATATAAATCGAAGAATAATTTTAATGTGTTTGTGTCAAGAAAAGCAGGACGCCAAGCTGTTGGTATCTAAGGAGTATCGATAATTATTTAAATTATATGTTTTTTAAAATGTAACATACCTGGACATTGTTCATATCATCAGCTGACTCATCAGTGGAACTACCAATAAAGTCAAAGCTCAGGCAGTTTTTTGTTAATCGTAAGACTTGGGATATTAGCCTGCACAAAAACCAAAATTCAAGCAAAATGATTTACCATTGGATATTATTTGCATAAATTAATCTTATTAGACTATTTGAAATAAGCTACTTATCAGTTCAGTATAATACAACTTAAATTTTTTAATTAATGGCCAGCCATACAGAAAAGATTTGCTTTTGTTTACATTATTCAAAAAAAGCTTTGAAATTAACAACAACCATAAACATCATGTGCTTGTGTCTAATCCAAGCGCTTAAGATTCGTAAAGCCCCTGGATCTGATGAACTGGACAGCAGAACAATAAAGCTGCTCCCCACCAAAGGCATACTCTTCATTGTGCTCTTATATAATTCAATGCTTCGAGTCGGACACTTCCCAAGGCAATGGAAAAGCGCTCTGATTGCCATGATTCCAAAACCCAAAAAATCGCTCACGCAAGTCGAATCTTATCGACAAATCAGCCTGCTTCCGACCCTCTCCAAAATATTCGAAAGAATATTAATGGCCAGAGTGTCGGAACTGGATTGTGTTAAGCGCAACAAGCGTTTGACCGAGTGTGGCACAAAGGACTCCTGTTCAAAATAAAAACTTTGCTTCCCCCCTCTCTTTTTCATATAATCCACAGCTTCCTCAAAAACAGAAAGTTTTTAGTTGTAGTCGACGGCACGTTCTCTGCAGTGCAGTGTCCTTGCTCCGTGGCTCTACACTGTTTATACAGCCGACATGCCGACGGTGGACCCGACGACACTGGAGCATCCCGATAGCTTCAACCTCGCCACGTTCGCCGACGATACAGCAATCCTCTCAAAAGCCAGCTGTGTTTACCAAGCCACTGACCAACTACAAGAATACCTGCACGAGTTTGAGACGTGGGCAACAAAGTGGCGAATTGCCATCAACAGGCAAAAATCAATATGCTGCACATTCGCGATCCGGAGAGATACCTCGCCAGGAGTAATCCTCCAAGACGAAATTTTTGATCATAAAGACGGCCATCGCTACCTGGGAGCCTACCTTGATCGCAGGTTCACTTGGAGCAAACACATCGCAACAACATGCCACAGCGTACGTCAAAAACTAAAAAGTATGGCTTGGCTCCTTAAGGCAAGCAGCAAGCTTTCTCTGAGCTATAAGGTGCTGCTTTATAAAACCCTCCTGGCCCCAGTCTGGCGCTATGCAAGCCAAATTTTCGGCACGACAGCATAATCTCACTTGAGGCAAATAAGTGTCTTCCAAGCGAAGGTTCTCAGACTGAGTGCTGGGGCTCCCTGGTACATCCGCAACCGGGCCCTAGCAAGAGACTTAAAGATCCCCTTGGTGGGCGACCTTCTACGTCAGCAGTCCACCAGCTACATGGCCCGTCTTTCTGCCCACCCCAATATATTGGCTAGAAGACTTTTCAGTAGAAAGCGACGGAGACTGCGCAGAATCCACCCCATCGACCTCCCAAACCGCTAGGTTAGCTAGGTTAAGATGCTCATGTATAGTATCAATAAATTAGCTAATAAAAAAGAAAAAAAAAAAAAAAAGCTTGTGTCTGGTTTGATGGAAGGCCTTTCCGATGTACTGTTTTCGGCCCAACCTCCGAACTTGCTATCAGCAATCACAATTGCCCAAGAAATGAAGTTAAATTAACAGGTACGCCTCTATGGTAAGCTATACTATCAGCCTAAAAGAAAACGTTACTGATAAACGTTACAACGTTACTGATAAATTGACAATAAAACCAAGATTTAACGAAATATGTGAATAACGTTTTCGCCTTAACGGACAAAACAGAAGTACATAATATTCTCAAAGAACTGAACTTTCATAAACACATTAAAAGTAGAAGTGATCTGGAGAAATATGAGAAAATGACAGATTAAGCCTCTATAGGATTTAAACTTGACCTTTCACTTAAGATTAGGTGTCCGTTTCCTCTGGACAAATACTTAACTATAACTCAAACCAACGAAGTATAACAATAAATACAGAAATTAGCTGTATGAGAAAGATGGCCAACGTAACGTACACAACATACTACAAACAAATCGGGTAAGAATGTAATTAAAACAGAATGTAATTATTAGACAAGACAACAAATCACAACACGAAAACCTACAGAGCCTACGAAAATATACAAATATCAGAACGTCTGAGGAACTGCTTCAAGAAACAAGAAATAAAAGAAGCACACAAGGCTAATACTTTCTTCAACAATAAAGAAAATAAGACAAAAATTCCAATAATGGACAAAAGTCATGTAATTACAAAATACCATGTTGGGGGAACAACAAAAATTACAATATCGTGTACATCGGCACAACAAATCAAAACTAAAAAAAAAAAACAAGGATAACCCAACACAAATCGGACTTTAAGTCATCACAATTATATAAAAAGCAAAACTAATGACCCACTGTATGAAAAGTAACCACACAGCAAACTTTGATGCAACAACAATACTATTTTACGAACAACACTACAACAAGCGATATACATTAGATATATTACTCAACATAAACACACCAAAGAACAAACGACAAATTATACACAGAAAATTGCACTCATTTGTATCAAAAATAAATTTAAAAACTGTTCCCGCAATAGGACTCGAACTCGTAACAGACCACACTATTTGCTACCGTCTCTACTCAACAGCCATACCAACAATTAATTGCCTATTAAAATAAAACGAGTTAAAATAACAGTATATACACACAGCCCAGAACACAATACAATTGCATCTGCAACGCTGTCTGTCAAATGTATACAGAAATTCTAGCAATTTGCGCTAGCTACCGTAAACACGTTAGTAACTTTTGTGTTTCTTACCTGATCTTCATGAATTTTTCGACAGTAGATCATCAAAATGATGAAATCAAACTTCAATAAAATTGTTGCTCGAATCGGTGGGCAATGCAAATTACTTGAATTTAGCTATGTGGTGATAGCGGGGTGGTGGCGATAACCATAAAATAATAGATACTTGATATATAGTTAAGAAGTAACCCTCGCTTAGTTGTTAAGGTAACCCTCTGTGTGTTGACACAAAACTCTTGAGTTCAGAGCTCTAGCTGCAACAGTCAGTGGCGGCAACCATAAACTTTTGCTATGTCGCAAGAGATTTCGTTATCGCCTGCGATTATGCTTCAATTCATTGTCTTTAGCTTGCAAGCAATTGCGTAATTGGCTCCCAACAGTTATAGAAACAACACTCTAAGTTAGTGCTAATACACTAACCAGAACATGTAAGTTCAACAAAGTCTCTTCAAATCAAATTGCAAATTAAATTCAAGCTGACAGAAGCAGAGTGATTGAGAAAATCAAATTAAATTATATAAAAGCAAGTAAGAGGATCTAGTCGGGAGCTCCCGACTAGGGGATACCCTGAACCCTCTTATTCCAACACCAAATTCAGCTCGCGCTACGCTTTTTTTTGCTTTAGTAGAAACAAAGATAAATTTAAAAAAAAATGTTGCCTTGGCAAGGTGCGAACTCGCAACTAACCACATTACTTGCCGCCGTCTCTACTCAACAGCCACACCAGCCACAAAAACAAAAAATAACAAGTGAGAGGTTCTAGTCGGGAGCTCCCGACTAGGCGATGCCCCGAACCCTCTTCTTCCAACTTCAAATGCATATATATATTCTATTTTAGAAGCTATATGTCAAGTTTGGTGACTCTAGCTCTTATTATTTACCAAAATTGCCCAAAAAACAGGATATCGATATCGATTTTTATCGATTGCTTGAAAACGGAGTAAGTTTTCGATTATCGGAAACAATCTGTGCAGGCACTAGGAGCACCTACATCTAAAATTTTAAGTCTCTAGCTCTTATAGGTTCTGAGATCCTCGCGTTCATACATACGGACGGACGGACGGACAGACAGACAGACGGACATGGCTAAATTGACTCGGCTATTGATGCTGATCAAGAATATATATACTTTATGGGGTCGGAGATGCTTCCTTCTGCCTGTTACATACATTTGGATTTTGCACAAATACAATATACCCTTATACCCATTTTTAATGGGTTCAGGGTATAAAAATTTCCTTGGTAGGTCTTGAACTCACGATAGACAACACCACTTGGCACCGTCCTACATTGAGTAGCCACACCCATAATTGAGTCCTGTTGAGAGAAAAACGAAATAAAATAGCAGCACAGAGCGCAATACAATCGCAATACAGAAATTCTTGCAATTTGCGCTGGTGCCGCAAACACGTGTTTCCTAACCGATCTTCATGAAATTTTCTACAGTATATTTTATTGTACCATAGAATATTTGTGTATTCTCAAAATGTTAATTGCATTTAAATTGTGGCTTAAATTGGTTGGCAATACAAGTTGGGGTAATAAAGTTATTAAATTTATAGTGCTCTTGGGTGGTGGCGGGGAGGTGGCGATCGGTATAAAATGAAAGATACTTGATATATATAATATTCTAGAAGCAACATATCAAGATTCCGATATCGATTTTTATCGATTACTAAACGGAGTAAGTTATCGATTATCGGAAACAAACTCGATCTGCGCATGGACTAGCTCTTCTCTCTTCTAGCTCTTATAGTTTCTAAGATCCTTGCGTTCATACATACGGACGGACAGACGGACGGACGGACAGACAGACGGACATGGCTAGATCGTCCCGGCTGTTGATGCTGATCTAGAATACATATAATTTATGAGAAGAGAAGCTTCTGCATGTTTTACATTTTGCACAAAAACATTATACCCCTTCTACCCATTTTTAATAGGTTCAAGGTATAATAAATAAAGTGTCAGATTGTTTCTCTTGCCGACTTTGAATAATCGGTCGCCATCAAAAAATTATAACCATACGTGAAGTGTCCACTAATAGGCATTTGCGACAAGCTAATCAGTTGGTCCCATACAGGGAAGTACAAGTTGAATACGACAGTGATGACGGTTGGGACGGAGAACCCATTAATAGTAATCAAACACACAAGCAAATAGAAACAATCATGTACGCAAGCCAAGTACAGCCTTTCAGTTCCGTTCAGTGC